TAGCTGTTCTTGGCCTTCTTCCTGAAACCACTTTTGATACTGCTGGCGGACGCTCGCCTTAAAGATCTTGTTGATGGAGACGTCGAGGGGCTGTACCTCCGCCATGCAGCCAGACGGGATGATCGCCGGCACGCAGTTGAGCTCGCGAAACTTCTCCTTAACGGCCTCAGTGAGGTGACCGCGGTACGAGTCTAGTACGACCATCGAGCTCCGCGCATGCCTCCCAACCCCAGGCTTTAGAAAAGGCTTGACGCACTCCTCAAGCCATTGTATGACGCCGTTGGCGTCCATCCAGCCGTTCTCGTGACACGACACGACCACATCTGCATAACAAACAAGCTTCTGTAAGTCTCTTTAAAAACAGGACCGGTGTAAAGCAAACAAACAAGAATCATGACTCACCCGGCGGGAACACCCCTTTCGGCACGGTCTTCCGCTTGAAAAAAACCCACGGCCTCAGCTTCATCCCGTCCGCCGTGCACGCCAACATCACGGTCACGCGCTCCTTCTGGTACCCTGCGCTCCTGATGGGCACTGACCGAACACCGGTTTGATCGACGGTAGTGGTGGCGGGCATCTCCAGCCACAGCGGCGTCTTGTCGGCGTTGATAATCCACGTCGTCTCGATGCCGCGCTCCCGACGCTTGTCACGGACGAATTGCCAGAACTTCTTGCATTGCTCCGCGACATCTGCGGTTGAGCACAGTTTCGGTTAGTGAGTGACAAGTGCATACACATGGCATAGAGAATAAAAATGATTCTTACGGGCGGTGGTTTTGTGGGCGACCTTCGTCTTCATTCGCACGCTGAGATTCCACCGCCGACGGAACCGGTCCGACCACCGTTGGCTCCCTTTCCACTTTACGAGGGGGTAGAGAATCTTCATGAACTCCCAGGACCACTCCTGCAGGCGGCCGATGGACACCGCGGTTCCCTTGCGTCGCCAGTCGAGCAGTCGCTCATACACCTTAATCTCCATCAGGCGGTACCACGACGCCCTGCCGCAACCGTGCATGCGGCACCTGGCAGAGTGGGCTTCCTTGAGGAAATCAGCGGCACGCTTCCAGTTGGCGAGGCACTTGCGGTGGATGCCACTCTCGCAAGCCAGAGTGCGCACCGACACCGCCACATCCAGCTGCGCGACCCACTTCAACTTCTCGGCGGCAGTATAGGCCTGACGCTTGTGGTCGTTGGGCTTGTGCCTGGGAGAGGGGGGGCGAGAATCACGGTTCTGTGAAGAAGGGTGAGGTCGCTTTCGATTACGTGGAGGATAAGTTGGTATCGGGAGTTTCTCGGGGAGGCCATCGCGTGACCAGTATTCGACACCGTCGTCGTCGTCACCGCCCGGCGCACCCTCATGAAACACATCCTCAGCAGTGCCGGCCTCAGTAGCGGCCTCGGTGTCGGCCTCAGTGCCACCCTCGGCGCCGGCGTCGCCCTCAGCGCGCCAACCTTCCTCGGCGTCTTGCACGTCGTCGTCAGCGCCGACTGCAGATTCATCCCACGTGAAATCTTCTGGCTGGCCCCAACGTGGTGCTGGCGCTGGAGCGGGTACGTCAACATCGGGGCCCTTGTCATAATCCGGTTCCGACAGATACTCGTCGAACCCCGATGGGAGCAGGAGCGTGAGCACGGGGTGGTTGTCGATGTGAGGGGCCACCGGACACGGAGGAACAGGAGGAACAGGAGGAGCGGGGGGAGTCGGAGGCACTGGAGGAGCCGGAGGAGCAGGCGGCGCAGGAGGCGCAGGAGGCGCAGGTGGCTCTGGAGGGTCTGGAGGTACCGTAAGCCCCCAGATACAAAGCCCCGGGTGCTGTGTTAGTACGCCCGGAAAGAAGGTGGGGGGGTGCACTAATACGGGACGATCGTATTGCACCCAGGTGTTCAATTCCGGGTTTAGTTTTATAAACGATTGGCCGATAGAAGTGTTGTAAGCGCTATTCACTGGTGAAAAGTACAATGTTTATTTCAGTTTTGGCTCAAGCGACCAAGTCTCAGGAACGTGGGTCAGAATTCACAAAGAACCCGGGCTCTCGAACGTGCCCCAGATTCACAAAACCCACACGCGAAATGTCCACCACGCCAAAGTGTTGCACGTTGACAAGGCGCGGAAACCACGACCGTGGGCGTGCGCAGAAGCAAAGAACCACACACTCGATGCTTTTAGGCAGCTCCCAGTCACAACTTTTCGTCATTCACACCATCCTAGCATCATGTCTGGCCAAGGGCCTTGGTTCAAGCATGGCGGGATAGTCACTTCAGACGACGATGAGGACTTTGCCGACAACAACACTACACCAGACGAGCTTGACGACGACGACCCGTTGGCAATGCCAGATGTCAAGGTGCCCTCTTTCCCGCGCGCTCACGTGCCATCGGCGGAGGAATCAGAGACGAACCCCGACCATAGGCCGCCGTCGCCGCGCTCTAACTTGACGGAACGGAAGCGACGCTCGTTTACCGTCCGAGAGAAGCTTATGTGGTGTTCTATGTTGGATGCTACCCCTCCTCCGTCCGTTCGATCAGTTGCAAAGTTAGCTAAGGTGCAGCCTTCAATGATTAGGGAGTGGATTAAGCTTCGTGCACAGATGAAGAAAGCCGCGCCGAGCAGGAAGCGTATGCGCGGCGGCGGTAGGAAGCCGAAGTACCCCGACATGGAGCGGGGCGTATACAGTCGGTACCTCGCCTCGCGGCGTCGCGGATTGCCCGTATCCGTGGGCCTTTTGCAAAGCTGGAGTCGGGACTGGATGAAGGAGCACTACCCCAGCAAAGCATGGCAAGCGTCCTCGCGCTGGTCTTTCCGCTTCAGGGGCCGTTGGGGCCTTTCCGTGTGGGTGAAGACGAAAATGGGGCAGAAACTACTCACGGGTAAGTATAAGTAACGTTCTCCAAACTGCCACCATTGACAACATCATGTACCTGACTCCGGTATGCTTCCGTTTTTGCATATGCCGCTCCGAAAAGCGAGCGTTTTTGGCAGTTTTGTCGCCAGATGATCGTCAAGCGGGAGATTGGCGCAGAGAACATAATAAATGCCGACCAAACTCCCGTCTACCTCGAGATGCCGCAAGAACGGACGCTAGAGCGGCGTGGCGCAAGAACTGTCCACGTGCGTACAGCCGGCTACGAAAAGGAGCGCATAACTGTCATGCTCTCCTGCACGGCGGCGGGAGAGAAGCTCCCGCCGTTTGTTGTCTTCAAGCGGAAGACTACTCCGAATTGCTACACGCCGAAGGGTGAGTGAGTCGCTAGTTTAAGAAGGATGGGCTATGGGTTATCTAATACATCCCCCGCTTACCACATACACCTCTATTGTGTGCGCAGATGTTGTTCGCGCGCAGGAGAAGGGGTGGATGGACGAGCGTCTCGTCCGTGACTGGATCACCCGCGTCGTGGCGCCGTTCACGGCAACGAGCAAAGGAACACGGCCCCCAACCCTGCTAGTCATGGATTCCTACAAGGGGCATCTCACCCCCGCCGTTCGGTCAACGCTTTCGCTTTTCCAACTGTTCCCCGCCGTCATTCCCGGCGGATGCACGCCTTACGTGCAACCGCTCGACGTGAGCGTCAACAAGAGCTTCAAGGCGGGGATGAGGGCTCTCTACACCAAGTGGTTTGCGGAGAAGGGCGTCAATCTGAAAACCGCGGACGGTAAGCAATGATTGGCCATGTCGAGGCGTGCGTTTGTGATTCTCTTCTTTAATGTTACGGCTGTTTTTTTACGGCGTCATTACCTTGGCAGGAAATTTGAAGAAGCCGCCGACGTCCGTTGTGCTCAAGTGGGTCTCTCGCGCATGGGCCGCCGTGCCGGCCGACCTCATCCGTAAAGCATTCAAGACTTGTGGCATTTCTAATGCCACGGATGGTAGCGAGGATCATTTGATCCTCGCTCACATGCGTAGCGGGAACGAGGTCGAGGTCCTCGAAGACATTGTGCCCGAAGAGAGTCCCAACCCCGGCGACGCCCCCTGTGTGTCTGCCGACGAGCTGCCTGATCAACAGGCTTGCTCGGAGGACTTCTCTGGAGACGACACTGAGGAGGAGGTCGACGACGATGAAGTCGAGGGCGGTGTGAGAGAGGAGGATCCGTGGGATGACGACGGCCTGTGTTATGATTCTGAGGACTCTTAGGTGCTTCACTAGTGTTAGATTCGGCTGGATTGTCATGTGTATCATGAAGTAGGTAGTTTATGCTAACGCAAGAATCCAAACAAGAACCCGAAGAGTCCCCAAACAGTTTGTAAATCTAACGTAAAACAGGGCTGGTTATATAAGGGGAGGGGTGCTCTATAGGCAAGGCCTAAAAGGGGGGTATATGTCAAACCTATATGCTATAGTCTGTGTAGGCTGTAGTGGGGTAGACAATATGGGGTACAACACTTTTAGGTTTTCCTACTTGTACCCACCCCTTTCCTACTGCATTCATTCCTTGTTCTTTCACATGGTATAGAGCAGGTTCCCTAGTGGGAACGTTTCCTAGGGCCCACCGAAAATTCGACATTTTTTTCCTGCCCGGAGCGCGCTTCACTCCTGCCCGAGTCGCGCCCCGCGTCCCCTGCCCTTAGTGGCCCCTTAGCCGCCCCCTCGCGGCCCCTCCCACGGCCCCTCGCGGCCCCTTAGCCGCTCCCTAGCGGCCCCACTCACGGCCCCTCGCGGCCCCTCTATCACGGCCCCTCGCGGCCCCTTAGCTGCTCCCTCGCGGCCCCTCTTACGGCCCCTAACGGCCCCTCTCACGGACCCTCGCGGCCCCTCAGCGGCCGTTCGCGGCCCCCCTCGCGGCCCCTCTCGCGGCCCCTCAGCGGCCGTTCGCGGCCCCCCTCGAGGCCCCTCTCGCGGCCCCTCCGCGGCCGTTCGCGGCCCCTCGCGGCCCCTCCGCGGCCGTTCGCGGCCCCTCGCGGCCCCTCCGCGGCCGTTCACGGCCCCTCGCGGCCCCTCTCGCGGCCCCTTCGCGGCCGTTCGCGGCCCCTCGCGGCCCCTCTCCCGGCCCCTCGCGGCCCCTTTCACGGCCCCTCGCGGCCCTGTCGCGGCCCCTCGCGGCCCCTCGTGGCTCGTCGCGGCTCGTCGCGGCCCCTCCACGGCTCCCTCGCGGCCCCGTCGCGGCTCCCTCGCGGCCCCGTCGCGGCTCCCTCGTCGTCCCTGCCCGCCGCGGCGCCCTGCCCTAACCCACGCCCTGGAGCAGCCGCCACTGCAGCAGCCGCCCCTGGAGCAGCCGCCCCTACAGCAGCCGCCCCTGGAGCAGCCGCCAAAGCAGCAGCTGCCCCTGGAGCAGCCGCCACTGCAGCAGCCGCCCCTGGAGCAGCCGCCCCTGCAGCAGCCGCCCCGGGAGCAGCCGCCACTGCAGCAGCCGCCCCTGGAGCAGCCGCCCCTGCAGCAGCCGCCCCTGGAGCAGCCGCCACTGCAGCAGCCGCCCCTGGAACAGCCGCCCCTGTAGCAGCCGCCCCTGGAACAGCCGCCCCTGTAGCAGCCACCCCTGGAGCAGCCGCCCCTGCAGCAGCCGCCCCGGGAGCAGCCGCCACTGCAGCAGCCGCCCCTGGAGCAGCCTCCACTGCAGCAGCCGCCCCTGGAGCAGCCACCCCTGGAGCAGCCGCCCCTGGAGCAGCCGCCACTGCAGCAGCCGCCCCTGGAGCAGCCGCCTCTGCAGCAGCCGCCCCTGGAGCAGCCGCCACTGCAGCAGCCGCCCCTGGAACAGCCGCCCCGGCAGCAGCCGCCCCTGCAGCAGCCGCGGAGCCCTCGCCCTGCAGTGGTAGCGGCCTCGCCGTTGCCGTCGTCGTACGCCTGCCCTTCTCGCCACTGGTGAGCACTGCCCTGCCCGTACTGCTGTTACTGCTCCTCTTGTTGCTACTGCGGCTACCACTGCTCCTGGCGGTGGCCAGATGCAGCTCCAGCGACGTCCGCGTGAGTCCCTCACGCCCCAGCAGCTTCGTGAGTGCTATGCTACTTGGGGTTGTCGGGGTGGCCGTAGTGGGAGTCGTTCTGGCGTGAGGAGTTCGGGAGCTACTTGTAGTGGCCAGGTGCAGCTGCAGCGTAGTCCGCGCGCGGTCCTTTCGCCCCAGCAACTTCGTGAGTGGAACGCTCAGCGTGGAGGGTCACGGAGTACGGCTCGCTGTCCGTACGTCATTCGCACTGGTGCTCAGACTGGTCAGCCCTGCGGGACGCTTGCTCACGCCGAGTCCCGCTGCTTCGCCCGTCTGAGCGACGTCTGGCGTACGGAGTTTGGCGACCCCGCTGAGCTCCCTGACTGGGTGGAGCTGCTGAGGCAGAGGGTAGATATCTATGCTCTTGACTATGATGCTATCCTCACTGCCATGTATGCATTGCCTACTAGTGATGTGGGTGACTGTTACCTGTGTGTTCCGCCTGACCCGGGCATTGAGGCTGCTGCTGTAGGTGCTGGTGAGGCTGCTGCTTTAGGTGCTAGTGAGTCTACTCCTCCAGGTGCTGGTGAGTCTGCTGCCCCAGGTGCTGGTGAGTCTGCTCTCTCAGGTACCACGTCGTCTCAGGTGTTACACACCTTCACCCTTGACTCGGGTGCTTCCCGCTCCTTCTTTCGAGACCGCACCACACTCACGCCGCTTAGTCGGCCGGTTGCAGTCTCCCTGGCAGACCCCTCTGGGGGTCCCGTCCTTGCCCACTTCTCCACTGTCTTACCGTGTCCGGCGGCCCCTTCTGGCTCCCTGTCAGGTCTTTACCTCCCCTCGTTCTCTACGAACTTGGTGAGAGGTGCTGACCTACAGGACGCAGGGGTTGACCAGTTCACTCCTGCGCGTCAGCGAGTGACCCACTGTACGTGTGCTCGGACGGGCCGACACTTGGCCACGTTTACCCGTCAGCCGGGGTCGAGCCTGTACACACTGACTACTGAGTCTCCTCAGGTAGCTGCGTCAAGTCAGGTGTTTGCTGCAGCGTCCAGGTCTGGTCCTGAGTCTGCCCCATGCTCGTGTCGTCTCCTGTCTCACCAGACTCTCCTCTGGCACCACCGCCTTGGTCACCCCTCCCTGCCTCGTCTCCGAGGCATGGCCTCTCGTTTTCTTGTCTCGGGTCTCCCCCGGTCCCTCCCTTCTCTTCCTCCAGGGCCTGGCCCCACCTGCGTTCCCTGCGTCGAGGGGCGGCAGTGCGCCGCTCCTCACTCCTCCGAGTTTCCTCCGACAGAGGCTCCGCTGCAGACGCTTCACATGGACGTGTGGGGCCCGGCCCGCGTCCGTGGACAGGGTCACGAGCGTTACTTCCTGCTGGTGGTTGACGACTACTCGCGTTACACCGCAGTCTTCCCCTTGCGCAGCAAGGGTGAGGTCACTGAGGTGTTGATCGACTAGATCCGCGCAGCTCGTCTCCAGCTCAGAGAGAGTTTCGGCTTGGACTTTCCTGTCCTGCGTCTGCACTCCGACAGAGGCGGTGAGTTTTCCTCTGCCCTTCTGCGAGCCTTCTGTCATGCACAGGGCATCCGCCAGACGTTCACGCTTCCGGCCTCTCCACAGCAAAATGGGATTGCTGAGCGCCGCATTGGTATGGTCATGGACGTTGCTCGTACGTCCATGATCCATGCGGCTGCTCCCCATTTTCTGTGGCCGTTCGCGGTTCAGTACGCGGCGCATCAGATCAACCTTCAGCCCCGGGTCTCCTTGCCGGAGACCTCCCCTACTCTGAGGTGGATGGGGAAGGTTGGCGATGCGTCTGCGTTTCGTGTCTGGGGATCTCGGGCTTTTGTCCGCGACTTGTCTGCGGACAAGCTGTCCCCCCGTGCTGTTCCCTGCGTCTTCCTTGGCTTCCCCCCTGACGCGCCTGGCTGGCAGTTTTACCACCCCACCTCGCGCCGTGTTCTGTCTTCCCAGGACGTCACCTTTGACGAGTCGGTCCCCTTCTACCGTCTCTTCCCCTACCGCACTGCCCCGCTCCCCCCTCCGCCGCTCTTCCTCACGCCAGGTGCTGCCTTGGTAGACCCCTTGCCTCCCCAGGTTCCTGCTCCCTCAGGTGTTTCCCACGTAGACCCGGTCGAGCCTGTCGAGGTAGCTGTCGACTCTGGTCCTGCGCGAGGTACTGAGCGTGCTGAGCCTGGTGGTGCTGGGTCTGGAGGTACCGCGCCTAGGGGTGCTGAGCCTTGGGGTGCGGAGCCTACGGGTGCTGAGCCTGGGGGTGCAGAGACTGTGGGTGCTGAGCCTGGGGGTGCAGAGACTGCAGGTGCTGAGCCTGGGGGTGCGGTCTCTGGGGGTGCTGGGTCCGGAGGTCCTGAGCCTGGGGGTGCTGCGCCTAGGGGAGCTCTCTCTTCCCAGCAGCTACGTGAGTGGTACTCTCGGTACTGTCGCAGCCTCCGGGGTGCTGCTGGAGCTGTTGGCGCTGGTCCTGCTGGAGGTGCTGCTGGTGCTGCTGGGGGTACTGGAGCTGCTGGGCCTGGAGGTGCTCCTGGTGCTGGAGCTGCTGGCGGTGCTGGAGCTGGCGGTCCTGCTGGTGTTGGCGCTGGAGGTGCTGCTGGCGCTGGTGCTTCTGAGGGTGCTGGAGTTGGCGCTGCTGGAGGTGGAGGTGCTGCTGGTGTTGGAGCTGGCGGTGCTGCTGGCGCTGGTGCTTCTGAGGGTGCTCGAGTTGGCGCTGCTGGAGCAGGAGGTGCTGCCGGTGTTGGAGCTGGCGGTGCTGCTGGCGCTGGTGCTTCTGAGGGTGCTGGAGTTGGCGCTGCTGGAGCTGGAGGTGCTACTGGTGTTGGAGCTGGCGGTGCTGCTGGCGCTGGTGCTTCTGAGGGTGCTGGAGTTGGCGCTGCTGGAGCCGGAGGTGCTGCTAGCGCTGGTGCTGCCGCTGGGGGTACTGGTGCTGTCCCTGCTGTTTCAGGAGGCGCTACGCGGCCGCGGCCGTACTTCGTTCCGCTCCTTGAGCAGGTTCTTGGTCTCCCGCCTTCTACTGGTCCTCCTCCTCCCTTAGAGTGTCCACAGCCTGTCCCGTCGCAGTCACAGTTACAGCTTGCCTCCCCACTGCCTGCTCCTTCTCCCTACACTGGTCCTACTGGAGGTCTTGCTGAGCGTCGTGCGCCTGCGTCTCGTCCTGCGTCGCCTGTTCGTGCTGCTCGCACTAGTCGTCGTGTTCCGCGTCAGCGTCCTCCTGCGGTCCCGGGCACGCACCAGATGGCACTGCGTCCTTCCACTGCTCCGCAGCGTGTCCCTTTGCCGTCTCCTCCTGAGTCCTCTCTTCCTGCTCTTGCTGACCCGGAGTCGGACTCTCTTCGTGCTACCAGTCCTACTGTCACGCGTCTCCTGGCTACTGTTGTCACTGACCCTTCCTTTGAGTCCACTGCTGCGTCTGCCTTAGTTGCTGAGTTGATCGACTTCGCTGCTCGCTGTCGTCTAGACTACGCTGCTAGTCTTGTTGCTGAGTCTGAGTCTGTCTGTCCTCCGTCCGTCGGGGGTGAGTGTGCTCTTAGCACGGACGTCCTTGAGGACAGGCAGGAGGAGTTCCAGTGTTTTGCTGCTGCTTTGCCTCATCTCGTGTCCATGCTGATTGCCCCTGAGGGAGACCCGGATGCACCAGACATCCCGACTCCTCGATTGTACGCTGAGGCGATCGAGGGTCCCTACTCCTCACAGTGGCATTCAGCCATGGACGCAGAGATGGCTTCCTGGAAGTCCACAGGCACCTACATCGACGAGGTTCCCCCACCTGGGGCGAACATCGTCAGTGGCATGTGGATTTTCAGGGTGAAGCGGCCGCCGGGTTCTCCGCCTGTCTTCAAGGCGCGTTACATGGCTCGAGGCTTCAGTCAGCGGCAGGGAGTTGACTACTTTCAGACCTTCTCTCCCACCCCGAAGATGACCACTCTTCGGGTGCTGCTGCACATAGCCGCTCAGCGAGACTACGAGCTTCACTCTCTTGACTTCAGCACAGCTTCCTTGCAGGGCAGCCTGCACGAGGAGATCTGGCTGCGCCGCCCACCTGGCTTCACTGGGTCGTTTCCTCCTAGTACCCAGTGGAGCCTCCGGCGGCCAGTCTACGGTCTCCGCCAGGAGCCGCGTGAGTGGCACGACACACTGAGGACTACACTTGCGGCTCTTGGGTTTGCTCCTTCTACTGCTGACCCGTCGCTGTTTCTGCGCACCGACACCTCTCTGCCGCCGTTCTACATCCTCGTGTACGTCGACGACTTGGTCTTTGCCACTGCTGACACTGCTGGACTCGCCCACGTGAAGTCTGAGCTGCAGAAGAGACACACGTGCACAGACCTGGGTGAACTGCGCAGCTACCTTGGCTTGCAGATCACCCGGGACAGAGCACAGCGCACCATTACCCTGACTCAGTCACACATGGTGCAGCAGGTCCTTCAGCGCTTCGACTTCACGTACTCCTCGCCTCAGGCCACTCCTCTGTCTACTCGCCACTCGCTCTCAGCTCTGCCTTCGGATGAGTCCGTAGAGCCGAGTGGCCCGTACCCAGAGCTTGTTGGCTGCCTCATGTACCTGATGACCTGCACTCGACCTGACCTTGCATACCCTCTTAGCATCTTGGCACGCTATGTTGCTCCTGGGAGACACCGACCAGAGCACATGGCTGCAGCGAAGAGGGTGTTGCGCTACTTGTGCAGTACGTCGGGCATGGGGCTAGTGCTTGGAGGGCGGCGTTCAGTGGTCCTCACAGGTCACGCAGACGCTTCTTGGGCTGATGACCAGGCTACGCAGCGGTCGTCACAGGGTTACACCTTCAGCCTTGGTTCCGGCTCTGTTTCGTGGCGGTCTACCCGCTCGTCTTCTGTTCTCGGCTCCAGCTGTGAGGCTGAGATCTACGCGGGGGCCATTGCTGCACAGGAGCTACGCTGGCTCACCTACTTGCTGACTGACCTAGGAGAGCCGCCTCGTTCTCCTCCAGTTCTGTACGTAGACAACAAGGCCATGCTGGCCTTGTGTCGGGAGCACAGACTGGAGCACAGAACGAAGCACATTGCTCTTCGCTACTTCCTTGCTCGTGAGCTGCAGCAGCGTGGTCAGCTGCGCCTTGCTTACGTGGCCTCTGAGGCCAACACTGCTGATATCTTTACCAAGGCACTTCCGCCTTGTGATCATCAGCGCTGCTGTACGATGATAGGTCTTGTGCCTACTTGGCCTCACTTGCTCACTTCTTGACCTTGCTTGTACTGTGATCTTTCTATAC